AACCCCATGCATAACCCAATAAGAATCCGCCACATCAGTGTCTCCTCTCACTCCTTGAAAAACCTTTAATTTTCCTTCCCTTAATCTTTAACAGACGATTTCTCACACGGTTTTAACTCAGAATTAATTTTTTTTGCACAGTTATATAAATTAATTGTGTTCTTCAAAATGATATCCACTTTGATATTTTTTGGATTTTTTTTTTGTGCCAATTATTACCAGTCTATACCATATGGTATTGACTATACCATATGGTATTGACTGGTATTAAATAACAGTATACCATATGGTATTGACTGGTATTAAATAACAGTATACCATATGGTATGAAAAATACCATCCCATACCAGGATGGTATATTATTATGGTATGGAGTTGGTAACGAGAGGTACGAAATTTTTTCACACTGAAAAATTTAAAATCCAATAGATCATATGATTAAATCGTTCCTTCTGTGGAAAAATTTCCGAAAATGACTAAAAAACGAAGGAGATACCATATGGTATGGAGTTGGTAACGAGAGGTATGCAATTTTTTTTCTCGAAAAATATTGAAAATGGATATCATTTTGTAGAGCACAACGAACTCGTTCCATCTGTGGAAAAAAAAATTGAAATCGGAGTTAGAATGAAGAAGATATGATCCAATCAAGAAAACTAGGGAAAATAAATTCCTTTAATTCTCCACCCTTAGATCTGCAACCACTTAAAAGAATGGTCCAGATTTGGTTACTCATAGTTATGCACTCTATCTTGAGCCGACCAATCCACTATTAACCTTTCAACTATATTAGCTATTTTCTCGTGTGATGAATCAATTAACATATTAAGTAAGAAATAAAATTTCCTTCCTAATATGTGTGTACTCTCTCATTTTCGTTGATTGTTGTATCCTTGTTTTTATCTCTAATACCAGTTTAATTTGTTGATTATCAACAGAATGCCGACTAGTCGAGGGAAATGACCAAATTGAGCAATAAATCAGCATCACGCGCAAAGCGTTGTGTTAAGAAGCTGAAGGTGGCGACGCCTTTGGAAGCTAATATCTCTAAACTAAATTGAATTGAAGAATCCTATATTGGTTAGTATTGATTTTACACTCCAGTGTAGATGAATATTTATTGGCATGCCAGTGAAGATGAGGATGGCTTTGGCTATGGTCTTTGCATGATTTTTACAAATACGTCTTCATATTGTTGGGTTGTGCATCCGTTTATGTATATTGTGCAGTTATTTATAAAATTGTCATTGCATTGTATCTTACATTCCTCTTGTTATGTGGGTTGTTAACTATGTTGTGGACTATGCCTACTACTTGTTTGTTGAAATCCCCATGAGGTAGCATTCCATGTCTGTGACTGTGGATGCGTCTTCTAAACCATTACCTCTAGACTCTGGCCTTCCAGTAGGGGTGGGAAAACGGTTGTGGTTTTGCGGTTAAACCGCAACCGCACCGAATAAGAGCAGTTTATAGTTAACCGCAAACCGTTTAAAATGGCCTTTATTCGGTAATAGATAGTGGAAATGGCCCTTTTACGGTTTGTGGACTAACCACACACCGCACCGAACATAAACCCCCACCGAATAACTAACCGCAGAAGTTTGGACCCAGCCCAGGCCCAACCCATACAACACCCCAAATGTAAACCTTCTCCACTCTCCAGCCCAAAGCCCCAAGGCCCAACATGCCAAAAATGAAACATCCAAATTTCAAACCCAAGATAGCATCTTAATGAAATTGGTCGGCCGCCTAGCTAGGATTCTGACTTCTGAGAGTGCTTCCCCTTTCCATAGTTCCAATTCCAAACTCCCAATTTCCATTTTACAGTAGCTGCCGCCTAGCCCTACCCTAGGGTTCCATCCTTCCTTCGTTGGCAAAGAGGAAGAGCAGCCACCAGCGAAGCACCGGCCGGCCAGCAAGCGGCGGGCACCGAGCAGCCAATCCAGCTCCACCGGCAGCTTTCATGAGCAGTGTCCCCTTCCATCGACCGTCGAGAAGCAGAGCAAAGCAAAGAACGCGAGACCACCATGTAAGTAACCTGTTTCTTAACTGAGCTCGACATTCCTTGATAGTTGATTCCCCTATTTTCTTTGTTTTAGTTCTGGGAATGGGATGGGATAGCTCATAGCTCCACATTCCTTGGTGGCATTTCCTTGTCTGCATCGTGCATTTTCAGGGAGAAGAGCAAAGGGAAAGAAAAAATGACACGTCCTCCTCCTCCAATTAGTACCATAAAGACCAAGTCTAAGCCTAAGAAGAGAAGATTGAATGGTGAATCCAGTGGTAGTGTTGCGAATCCAACACCTCCAACACAAGCTGCAACTGAGCTTACTCCTGTAGCTGCTGCCATTGCCGTAGGTGTTGGCACCTCAAGCTCACAGGCACAGCCTCCTTGTCTTGCTTCACAACCTCCTCCTCCTCCCATTAGTACTCATCAAGCTGCTGTTAATGGGGGGACATCAGCTCAGGAACAGGAAGACAAGTCTAACAAGAAAACTAAGACCAAGAAAAAGAAGAAGAGGGACTACAAATCAAGGTCGCCAGCATATGCAGAATACGAGCTGTATTTCGTTCCCAATCCCAAATATGAGAAGGAACTCAATGAGGGGAAGAAGGATGCGAAGAAGGAATTGAGGAAGGCTAGGTGTTTATTTTTCAGTACTAAGTTGGTTGCTGATTCAAGAGCTAATGGTACTTCTGCTCTTCATGCTCACACTAAATCATGTAGAAAGAAAAGGGAAGCCCAAGGTGGTCAAATGCAGTTAAGTTTATAGCCGAGTGTAAATGATGAAAGATTGAGAATGTTGAGCAATTGAATATTTGATCAAGGTTCAATTAGGCTTGCATTAGCTCATATGATAGTGATGCATCTGCCATTTCGGTTTGTTGAACGAGGAGGGTTTAAAAAGTTTTGCCTTGCTGCATGTCCACACTTTAAGATCCCATGTAGGAAGAGTATTCGAGAAGATTGTTTCAGGTTGTTTGCTGAAGGGAGGAGGCAATCGGTTGATTATTTCAAAAACAAGTGTGATGGTAGAGTCTCCCTTACAACAGATTGTTGGACTTCCATTCAGAATTTCAGTTATCTCTGCTTGACTGCACATTTTGTTGGTAACGATTGGAAGCTATACAAGAAGATCATCGGTTTTCGTTGCATTACCAGCCACAAAGGTCTTGATATAGCTGAGAAAATTTCTGGTATTTTGGAAGAGTGGGGTTTGAAGGACATTTTTACCATTACAGTTGATAATGCATCTGCAAATGATACTGCAATTGGCTGTTTGAAAGACAAGTTGTCGAGTTGGGGTAGCAGTATTAAGGGTGGGATATATTTGCATATGTGGTGTGTTGCCCATATTATTAATCTGATTGTTACCGATGGATTGGAAGAAATTGGAGTGGCTGTTGCGCGGATTAGGGAGGCTGTGAAATGGGTTCGAGCTTCTTCTAGTAGACAGGAAAAATTCAAGAAGTGTGTGAGATTCCAAGGTGTTTAGCGGAAGAAGATGTTGTGCTTGGACGTTCCTACTAGGTGGAACTCCACCTTCTTAATGTTGGAGGCACCAGAGGTTTACGAGAAGGCATTTAAACTTCTAGAGATAGAAGATGGGGAGTTTAAGGCGGATCTTCTCAAAGCAAAGCTTTACAAAGGCGAAACAATTGGTCCTCCAAGTGCAGCAGATTGGGAGAGTGCTAGGAATTTGTGCTCTCACTTGAGGTATTTCCACATTGGCGGACCTATTCAAAGCCAAGGGTTGTCAGTTGACAAACCTTGACTGAAAAATTGGAACAAATTTACACACTAAAAATTAAATTGTTGTTGGCAGGATTTGAACCTTGACAATTTGACAACCCTTGACACCTAAGTTCCGTTAAACCACTAATCCATTGTTGTTATAATCATTACAAAGAAAATATATAATGACCCATCTGCCAAATCCAAGTCCCATTTAAAATCTAATTAATCGCCTTCTCTTCGTTGGAGAATGAAAACTCAATACCAATAAAATTAAAACTCTCGGCCTGTGACTCTCCATATTCCCAATTACAATTCCCAACCTTTTTTTACAGAACCCTTGCTTGCTTCCCCTTCTTCTATCATCGACAACTCATTGTCAGGCGGCACTCGGCAGCTTCTAAACCCCCCAGCGCATACGGTATATCACAACACCTGCAAGTATTGCTTTCCTTTGTTGTATTGCACTTTCTTTAATTTTTTTATTTAGTTGAAGTAGAAGAATGGACATGGACGCAAGCAGTAGTCCATGGAGTTCTTCCTTTTTTAGTTTCAGCTTTTACTTTGTCCTTTACTCCTTTATAATAAGTTAATAACTATGATTTTCATTGTTAATCAATCAGCTTACGTAGTTATTTACCTTTTGAAATCAGATATGCACAAGTATTTGATAAAAAGACCGAGGGCTGAGCGAAATTCGAATAATGGTAGTGGAGAAGCTCAATCTTCTTCACCTTCGTTGAATCAAACTGCTATCCCTTCAAGTAAGTCTTGTTCTAGACCTACAGAATATGAGATAGATGATGTGGATAATCTGGAAGCTGATCCGGGGTTAAGGAGAAAGTTTTCAACTTTTCCTGCTAATAAGCAAGATGAAATCAGAAGAGCGTATCTTCAAAGGGGCCTCTGTCAACCAACAGGTCCTACTTTCCCCATTACAGAGATGAGCGGATTTAATCGCAAATTCAATCCAGATTGGTATGTTGATTATAAAACATGGCTAGAATACAGTGTTGCGAAAGATGCTATATATTGCCTACCTTGCTATTTGTTTAGATTAAGTGTTGGTAAAAAAGGTGGAGGAGAAGCTTTCATTAGTCAATGTGTTAAATGTTGGAATAGGAAAAAGGCTTTGGATGATCATGTGGGTGGACCAAATAGTTCTCATAATGTGGCTGCCAGGAAAGGTGAAGATTTGTTGAAACAGTCACAGAGCATTTCAAGTGTCTTAATAAGGCAATCAGATAAAGCCAAAAGTGAGTAACGAACACGTTTGCAAGCCTCGATTACTACAGCTAAGGTTCTTCTACGGCAAGGAGTGTCATTTCATGGGCATGATGAAAGTGAATTCTCAGAAAACAGAGGAAACTTTTTTGAATTTTTGGAAGTTATTGCTAATGAGAATCCGGATGTGCGCAGTGTTGTGTTGGAAAATGCTCCAAAAAATCATCAATTGACATCTCCAAAGATTCAAAAAGATATTGTTCGTGCAATAGCATCTCTAACAACAAAGGAGATTATCAAAGATCTTGGAGATGCATTTTTTTGCATATTGGTGGATGAATCTCGTGATGTATCAACCAAAGAGAAGATGGCTATTGCTATATGTTATGTGGATAAAAAAGGTCGTACTATAGAGAGATTTCTCGGTATTTCTCATGTCACTGATACCAAAGCCACTACACTTAAGAAGGAGATTGAGTCAATGATTGGGTTACATGGATTGAGTTTGTCAAGGATAAGGGGGCAGGGATATGATGGAGCTAGCAATATGAGAGGAGAAATCAACGGGTTGAAATCTTTAATTCTGGAAGAGAATCCATCTGCTCATTATATTCATTGCTTTGCTCACCAACTTCAGTTAACACTAGTTGCTGTTGCGAGAAATCATGGGGAAGTCAACCGCTTCTTTGGTCATGTCATTGCCTTGATTAATTTGATTGGAGGATCTCCCAGACGACGTGCAAGTCTTCGAGACAGCCAATCCACTAAAGTAATTGAGGCTATAGCTAGTGGTGAACGAGAGAGTGGAAGAGGGTTGAATCAAGAAGTAGGTCTTAAAAGGCCGGGAGATACTCGTGGGGATCACATTTTGGTACTCTTATTAACCTGATGGATATCTTCGCTGCTGTGGTTGATGTGCTGAAGGATATGTATTATGATGGAAGTGTTGATTTGAGAGGTTACGCTCTTGATCAGTTGCATACTATTCAAACTTTTGAGTTTGTCTTTTTTATGAAGTTCATGATTGAAGTGCTTGGAATTACAAATGAGTTGTCCATAGCACTTCAAAGGAAAGATCAAGACATTGTCAATGCTATGCAACTAATTATGTGCTCAAAAGATAGATTGCATAAGTTAAGAGATGAAGGATGGGAGCCTCTTCTTGATGATGTGATTTCATTATGCACCAAAGAACAAATTCATGTTCCTAACATGAATGACTTGTTCGCTCTTCCTGGAAGAACAAGGCGTAACTCTCATCAACCCACAAACTTTCATCACTTTCAAGTTGAAGTGTTCTATGCGGTTGTGGATATGCAGTTGCAAGAGTTGAACAACCGATTTAGTGAGGTGAATACTCAATTGCTGGCTTGTATTGGTTGTTTTAGTCCAGCTAACTCATTTGCTGCTTTTGATAAAGAAAAGTTGATGAGTCTTACCAAGTTCTACCCCATTGAGTTTCCTTCCTCTGTGCTTACACGACTTGATCGACAATTGATGGGGTATATTTCTCATGTCAAGTGTGATGAGGCATTCAAAGATTTGCGAAGAATCGATGAGCTGGCTAGGCGAATGGTGGAGAGAGGAAAGGATAATTTATATCCCTTGGTATATCTGCTTTTGAAGTTAGTGTTGACTTTACCAGTTGCAACCGCAAGCGTGGAGAGAGCCTTTTCAGCAATGAAATTCGTCAAGAACGATCTTCGAAATCGTATGGGGGGACCAATTTATGAATGATTGTTTGGTCACATTAATTGAAAAAGGCGTGAGTCGCAACATAAGTGATGAATGTATTATAGAAACTTTTCAGAATATGAAAACACGTCGTGGTTCGCTATGAGATACGATGAATCGATGTACTTTATGAATTAAACTTTTTAATCTTAATTTTAGTTTTTTATTTTTTTTATTTTTTTGAATACCCTTGACAAAATTTCTGGGTATGCCACTGTATTTCCATGACCTTACATTACTTGTATCTGGTACTAAGTATGTGACCTCCCATATGTTTTTGAGGGAGCTATACAATATTTTTCAACAACTTAAGGAGATGGAGGGAAGTGAGGATGAACAAGTGAGAAATATGGCTTTTAGAATGCATGCAAAAGTAGAGAAATATTGGTATGAGATTGAGGATGAGAATTCAAGGATGAATAGGTTGTTCTATGTGGCTGTGGTGTTTGATCCTAGACACAAGATGAAATATCCTATGTATGTGTTGAAGAAGTTATATGGGGAGAAAAGAGCGGAAGAGTTGGGTAAAGAGATTCTTGGAGAGCTCAATGACTTGTTTAGTCACTATAAAAATATGAAAGCACATGCTCAAACTCGAGGTCGAGGGACACAATCTCTAGGTGATTCCTCAAGATGTGATGATATAGACATGGTTAGTTCTGATGAGATGGATGTGGTGCCGGTTGTACATGTGGACACTCGTACTTTTGATGATGATTATGAAGATTGTGATGATGGAGATCAAGCATCCGAGTTGGAAAGATATCTTGTTGAGCTTCATGAGGGAGATGCCAAAAATTTGAAGTATGATGTCTTGAAGTGGTGGAAGAACAACGCCTACCGTTATCCCATTTTGGCCGAGATGGCCAAAGACTTGTTTGTTGTTCCCATATCCACAGTTGCTTCTGAGAGTGCTTTCAGCACCAGCGGTCGGGTGTTAGATTCTTTTAGGATTTCTTTGACTCCTCAAATTGTTGATGGATGTGGTGCCGGTTGTACATGTGGACACTTATCTGCAGTGAGGATTGGTTAGCAAGTTCGACACTACCTCTTGAGGATGAGAATTTGGATGAGTTGGAAGATCTTGACAGTGGTATGTTTTGTTTTGGTTGTGTGGTGTATTATTGCTATTGAATACTATATTTTCTAACCTCTTATTCCATTTTTGTGTGTGTTTTAGCTTTTCAAACTGTTGTATTGGATGCCAATACAACTTCTACTACAACTGGAGCTGGAAGTGCTGCTGCCAGAGCTGCAAGTGCTGCTACCAGAGCTGGAACAGCTGTTGCCGGAGCTGGGAATGCTGATACAGGAGCTGGAAGTGCTACTGCTGCCGAAGTGCGAGCTTCTTCTTCGATTGCGCCTAGTGGTTGAGAAGATTCTAATGTTGGAGAAACGCAAACCGAGGATGGGAGTACTTCTGAAGACGAGGACAGTGAGGAGACTACGAGTGAATGAGTGATTGAGGAATTGATGACATGGGAGTTGGGAAGTGGACTGTCGTAGTATGGCTTGAACTTTAAGTTTATGAGTTTATGTGTTGAAACTAAATTTGGATGGTTTATGTAGGATTGAAAAGTTTTGTGGGATGTTTAGAACTTAAGTTGTATGCTTTATTTGGGATTGTTAGAACTTAATGTGGATGGTTTCTTTGGGATGTCTAGAACTTATATATGTTTCAGACTTTTCCAGGTGCATTTTACTTGTTTTAGAGTTAATTTCTCAAGTGCATGTTGCTGGATTTTACAGGTTAATTCCGTTTTTTCATGCGGTTTTGTTCCATTATGCGGTTTTTTGCACCGTTTAACTCTTATCGCGATGTGCGGTTTGAAGTGCAGTTAACCTCAACTAACCGCTAACCACGATGTGTGGTTAGTGGTTAACCGCAAACCGTTTACATTGCGGTAACAGTGGGTGGTTTTTCCCTTGTGCGGTGGCGGTTAACCGCGCTTATTCGGTGCAATTAACCGCAACCGCACCGTTTCCACCCCTACCTTCCAGGGGAGCGGTTTCGCTCTTTTATTGATTCGTTGCTTCACAACCCATGAGTTTCTTGACAAATCCTGTTATTCGGTTCGTGAAGTCCAGTCGATATGCGCGTTAAGGTTGATTGCTGATGAACGATGATTTGCCTTTTGCAATTATGTTACCATGAATGAGATATGTTGCGCATAAAAATGATGGGAAATTAGAAATAATTGAAATTTGACTCAATCAAATGGCTGAAATTGTCTGCAAATCTCCATCCAAAAACAAAATGAAAAAAAAAAACAAAAAAAAAAAGAGTTGATCAAACCATCCGCTTGTGGCTCCAAATCTAAAGGATATATTCTTAGAGTTCATATAGAATTTGGTTTTGCACCTAATACCTTTTCCAAGAAATCATCAATGTTTCTATCAGAAGATCCACCTTCTACAATCGCTCCCCTGCATATCTTCCCCAACTCCTGGGCTCTCTCCCTCACTTCCTTCACCTCACTCTGCTCTCCATCCATAAACCTCTTCACCACTTGAGATATCTCATCTCTGGTCACCAATTCATCCTCCATCCCCAACCTCTTCAACCTCCAGCCAATCCTCCATTTCTCGACAATCAGCCTACTATTCGGAACCTGATCGAATATCAGCGGGAAAGTAAGCATCGGAACTCCACCGTAAACACCTTCCAACGTCGAATTCCACCCGCAATGCGTCCAGAACCCTGCCACTGAACCATGGGTCAGCACCTTCAGCTGGTCGCACCATGTAACCACCATCCCTTTCTCACCACCACCACATCTTTCTTGTAACCGATCCCTCTCCCCGCGAGCCACCAAAAGGAAAGGAACATCGCTGTCTCTAAGACCCGCAGCCATCTCGTCCATTTGCTGCTTGGAGATGGAGAAAGAACTTCCTAATGATACATACAAAACAGAGCCTCCAGGCTGGGAATCTAGCCATTGCAAATAGGATGCTTGTTGAGTATCTGGAAATTTGTTGTTGTTGTTGTTGAGTTTCAGGAAAGGAATGGTGGGTCCGATCGGGTATACTGGGGACTGGAACTTAGATCTTAGAGCCTTGAAAACTTCAGGCTCAAGCTCCTCGACGGAGTTCACCAAGAGGAATTCAGCTTTCGGAATCCAAGAACGGCACTCCAAGCTTTGGTTCATGATAACCCGGTCATCCCCTCTGAATATGGCTTGTAGATCTGCCACATCCGGAGGAGAAATTCCATGGATCGAATAGTCTTCAAGATCGTCGCCGTGATCTATGCAACAAAAACCCACTAAAAGAGTTAACTGTTGAAGTGGAAATTAAAACTGAGCAAAAGAAAAAACATAGTCTATGGAAGAAAAACAGAGCAGGTTATAATCGTTCAGTTCGTTTTAAGAAATTAGGAAAGTTGAAGATATTAACATCCCAATCAAGATCTTTTCTGTGATCTACACGACATAAACAAACCACACATTTACAGAATTACAGTCACCATTATTGGGCGAAACAGAACATTAAAAAAATAAAATAAAACAGAGTCTATGAAAGGAAAACAGAGCACATCACAAATGGCGACGTTTGATTGAAAAGAATTGGCAAGACTGAAGGGAGCTTTTAATACTAACCCAGGATACGGTCTCTCAGGGAAAGGTCCTCTACGCGGGCGAATTGATGGAATAGGTAATATAGTCTGCCCGGGACAGTACAAAACATGGCTACCGGAATCTTCCGCCGGCGGCCAATTCGGATGGCCCAATTGAGTTCATAATCGGAGATTAACGCGGTAACCGGAGGTCCTGCAATCCGGTCGAGGAGGTCATCGAAGGGAGCTTCCATTTTCGTGACAACGGCGTCGTAGAAGGCAGGGAAACATGATCCTCGAACGAGCTCCGACGGGGTGACATTCGGCATGGCGGCAAATATGACGTTGTCGGTGAAGGCGAAATCAGCGATAGATTTGTCGGCGGTGAGCAAGCCCAGCCATTCTTCCGTGACCACGACGGTGATGAGAAGGTCGGGGCTCTTGGAAGAGAGAATCTGGCAGAGGTAGAGCATGGGGTTGATGTGGCCTCTGCCAGGGTAAGGTACGGCGACGACATGGCGTCGGCTCCGGCGGCTGCAGCCATTTGGTGCTGTGAAAAATTGAGTTGGAGGGCTCATGGTAAGAGGGTTTGTTGAAGTTTGTGTCCCGGATTTGCTATTCAGAGTTGTGTTTAATAATGGAGATCTCAATCGCCATTTGTCAACCATCAGCTCGGAATGGGCTTTTGCGTTATCTCTAACTGCCAGCCCGGGAAGGTGGTTGGTAGGGTAGTAGGGATGGCAACCAATTTGGGTGGGGCTGGTTTTCCTATATATCATTTACGAACTATGGTTTTAAAATGGCAACCATCATCATAATCAAAATTATGCAGAATGTAATATATGACATAACAAATGATTCAAGGAAAATCCACTCGCACCATCCTTGATAATCATAAAATTCTTTATATAATCTAAGTTTTTTCTTAAAATGTAATGTTAATTAAAGTTTCTTTATGCATTGTTTATAAAACTGAGAGAAAATAAGAAAGATTTGAGAGATAATTAAATATTTTAGGATGTGGATGAACAAAGTGTTTAATTGATTAAGTGTAAAACTAGTTTTAACACATTCAAGTGAGTTCACTGCAAATACTTAAAATACCAAAATTATGCCAAATCCATTGTTCTCTTTATCAGATTCGGAGAAAACTTCATCCAAAGATAATGTCTCCATCGGAGCAAGTAATTCCAGCACCATAGGGTCGTCAATGCAAGGGAAATGATAACCATCCCGTCTGCCGAATGAGACCCTCTCTTAGTGGCCTCATCCCACATACACATAACCACCGAAGGCTCCTCCGGAGCCAAAGAAGGGGTGGGAGTACTGGATAGCAGGGGGACACGGTCCACCGGCAGAGAAACCCATTCCTGAACCTACTGGTTAAACTGACGCATCAAGGCTGAGAACCTAAACTGTTTCCCCTCAAAGATGACCCAGTTACAAGATCGCCAGATTTGCCAAAGGACAACAATCACTGCCATAAACAGGGGAGATGATGTACCAGAGACAATAGTTTTTCAGAAAAAATGGAAAGTATGCCTAGGTAAGCCTTCCCCAAGGTAATCAAGGCCAGACAACTCCTAGAGGGCACGACCGACTGGACAATCCATAAACGAGGGAGCACATCAACCTTCTTCTAAATAAGGGCTTCTGTCACGGGCAAGATTCTGTTAAAGATTTGCCAGACGAACACTTTCAATTTCGGAGGAATGTTAGCCTCCTACAAATGGATCCAGCTAGCCTTATCCATCCAACTAGCAAGAGACCGCCACCGCTCCCTCTCCTAATCTAGGACAACCGCAAAGTGATATGTTGATTTAACAGTGAAAACCCCATTTGTAGTAGCGTGCCAGATCAAACGGTCTTCGACATTCTGTCTGGGCAGTGGGATAACTTAAATAACTTGACAGGTAGACGGGTCAAACCATTGGCTGAGCTTATGGTCACACCAGCACCCCTCCCCTGGCAGGGATGGAGCCAGCTCATAACAAGGAGGGTCCATGCCCCCCCCCCCCCCCCTCCCCCCTAAAAATGCAGATCAAGATAAAAGAAAACGTGGTCAGATAAAAGCAACATCTAGCGTTTGGCCTACTCGTTGAAGAAGTTTTATTATCCCTTATAGGTAGGGATGGCCAGGGTTCGGTTCCCCACCTTTTCTTCTTTTAACCATGTTTGAATGGAAAATTCATGTAATGTCTATTTTTTCTTTTGGTTTATTTCACTTTCTTAAGGCGAATTTCTTATTTTTTTCATATGATTTCAAGTATTGATATGTCTATTTCCCGTTTTTCATGTAATTTCAAGTTCTGCTATGTCTATTTTTTTAGTTTATGTCACATTTTTAAAGCGAATTTCACACTTGTTCATGTGAATTCAAGCTTTGATATGTTTATTTTCAGTTTATTTCATATTTTAAGTTGAATTTTACATAATTTCTAAGTAACATTTTATCATGTTGTTGTTCTGTTCTTATGGTTATAACATATCGAAGTATCGCAGGATAAAATACTTCGAACGACATACATCATAATGTTTAGATTGCACATAACGGGTTTCAGTTTTTGTATAAAAAATTGTATACAATATGGATGTGATATTTTTGTCTCAAAAAACTTTGTTGGCCCCTCCTACTGAAAAATCCTGGCTCCGTCCCTGTCCCCTAGACAGAGAACCTCGGCCACCGCTAGATCCCACTCTCCAGGTAGAACACGGGGGTTATACACCGGGGTAGGAGGATGTTGTTGAGGGATCCAGTTAGAATTGAGGAGAAAAGCTTTCTGACCATTCCCAATTTGCCAACGTAGACCTATTTCTAACAGCTGACGGCCAAACATAATTCTCTGCCATCACCAAGAAAGACGAGAACGAGCCATAGCCGTGAGAAATGACCCATTGGGGAAATATTTCCCCTTATAAACCCGGGCTAAGAGAGAATGAGGTTCGTTCAGCATTCGCCATCCAATCTCAAGAGGGCCTGATTAAAATGTTCGAATCAACGAAAATCCATACCCCCTTCATGCTTACTTATGCACGTATTACGCCACGACATCCAACGAATGCGGGATTGGCTCTCCTCAACACCCCACCAGAAACAGGCTACACGCTTGTCCAAGAGAAGACAAAGGGATAGAGGCAATTTGAAATAAGACAGAAAATGCAACGGCAAAGCTAAAGCAACTAACTTGATCAAGGTCTCTTTCCCAGCCCAGGACAAAGTCCTCCATTTCCATCACTGAAGCCTCTCTAACAATTTCTCCTCTAAATAGCGAAAAGTCGCCATCTTCGATCGAGCTATCAGGGTAGAGAGTTCCAAGTACTTATCATTAAAAATGGCAATGGGCAGGTCTGAGGCGGGTTTCTTGGTATCCAGACCCGCCCCGTGGCAGGTCGGGTACAGATAAGAATCGTACATTCCTGGAGTGATCCTTGGAGGAATAGATAAGAATCGTCATCAAAGAACAAATGTGAGATTCGGGGAGCCCTAGGAGCTACCTTAACTCCTTCTAGTTTGCCTTTCGCGATGGCTTTTCGAAGAAGGGCCGCAAACCCCTCCGTGCAAATCACAAAGAGCAGAGGGGAGAGGATCCCCTTATCGTAATCCCCTGAAGGGAGAGAAGAAATCAGAAGGGGTTCCATTCATGAGGACAGAGAACGTCGTTGACTTGAGGCATTCGTGTATCCATCATCTCCAGACAGAGTTAAATCCCATCTTCTCTAACACCGCAAGTAGAAAGGGCCATTCGACTCGATCATAGGCTTTTTCCATGTCAACCTTTGGAACCATGTAACCTTTCTTACCGCGTGTTTTGATTTTTAGGTAATGCATTAACTCATGTCCTAGGAGGATATTCTTGACAATTTGCCACTCACGGATAAAAGCATTATGTCCTTCAAAGATGATTTGAGGCAAGAGGATAGCAAGTCGTTCTGCCATAATTTTAGTGATCACTTTATACACGAACTGGCACAGACTGATTGGCGGAGCTGACGTATGGTCTCCATCTGATCAACTTTAGGGATCAACGTTAACCAGGTGTGATTAAAGTTTTGGAGCATCTTACTTGTTACAAAGAACGAGCAGACTGCCGCAATGACCGAGTCTCCTACAATACCCTGAAGGCTTTGAAGAACTTCCCCGTGAAACCATCAGAGCCAGGGGCCTGCTTCGATCCCATTGAGAAGACCATTTTTCGGACTTCACTAGGGAGGACTTCAGCCGTTAGATTTGCATTCATGTCCGGGGTAACGGTAGGAGAAATGGGAAGATCCGCCACCCTTTCAATCACGTTATGCACTTGATTTTCCGAGGTTAACAAATGCTGATAGAAATTAGTGGCAATATCGGCCTTCCCATGCTCCTCTGTAATCCAATCCCCAGCATCGTTCCTAAGACCCGAAAAAGTTATGTTTTCTATGGGCCCTCGTAACCGTATGGAAATAAAAAGTCTTTTTGTCACCCTTTTTCAGCCACCGGACATGAGATTTCTGCTGCCAATAGATTTCCTCCACTTCCCATTGTCGACCTAATTAAACTTCCAGACTTTTCACTTCATCCCAATTGATCGGATGGATTAGCCTAATACGATCTATTTCAGCTTTTAAGTGTGGATATTACGTAGGGAATTGGTTGTGCCTGCTCTGCTCCAATCATATATATAGGTGTCAAAACATAGCCCGACCCGATTAACCCGACCGCAACCCGACCCGCAACCCGACCGCAACCCGACCGCAACCCGAATTGACTAAAAGTCAACAACCCATAACCCGCCCGACCCGCAACCCGATTGACCCGCAACCCAACTAACCCGCAACCCGACTAACCCGCAACCCGACTAACCCGCAACTCGATTAACCCGAACCCGATTGACCCGAACCCGACTAACCCGTAACCCGACCGACTCAACTCGAATTTCATCTAATCCACTTGAATAATTATAAAAATATACAATACATAGTTTTTCAAAATAAAGTTTTTCATTCTAAACTTAAGTAAAATTATTTTTCATTTCGTATAGGAAATTTAAAAAATATGAAACTCACTTGATATTACGTATTTTAAGAAAATTACAAAAATTGAAACATGAAGGTCATTTGAGATCATGACAATATTAATATAATATATAAATTAAAATTTTGATTAATTAAACTATTCAATAAAATTATCAATTAAATATAAATAAAGTAAAGTAATGTATTTGGTAATTTGATGTTTTTAAATGAAGAGGGAAATTTTGGTGTATTCAAGTTTTTGGGAAGAGAAAGAAGAGGGAAATTTGGTTCTTTGAATTTTTTAGAAAAGAAACAAGTGGGAATTTTGGTGGTTTTGATATGTGGGAAGAGAAAGAAGTGGGAAAATTTGATTTTTGGGATTATGAAAGAGAAATAAGGAGGGAAACTTTTGAGTTTTCAACTTTTTGTAGAAGGAAAGAATAGGGTAATTTGGTTCTTTCAATTTTATGGAAGAGAAAGAGGAGGGAAAATTGAGTTTTCTAATGTATGGAAGTAGAAAGAAGGAGGGAAATTTTAGTATTTTTGTGAAAAGAAAGGAAGAAACAAATTTGGTGTTTTCAATTTTTTGGTGTTTTCATAATTTTAGCTTTTGAAATATGAATGTTTAACTTTTATATGGAGGGCATGACTAGTTAAAATTATTCTTATATGCTTTGAATGCTAATATATATATGTATGTAATTGTTTATGGGCTAGTAAATAAATTAACCATTAGTTACAACAATTTATACTAAACTTGATAAGTAATCT